GAGGGGACTGGGACTGTGTGTGTGTCTGGCCTGGGTCTGGGTGGGTTGACCATTAGCTGGTCACTGCTCAGGAGGGGACTGGGACTGTGTGTGTGGCTGGCCTGGGTCCGGGTGGGTTGACCATTAGCTGGTCACCGCTCAGGAGGGGACTGAGACTGTGTGTGTGGCTGGCCTGGAGCCGGGTGGGTGACATGCGTCCTGTGCTATTTCCGGCCTGGGCAGTTTCAGTGAAGTGGACAAGGCAGGTCTGAAAAAGACCAGTGAGGAGGAGGACCTTCCCGAAACGTTTAGAGGATGTTCCAGCACACAGAACATTCAGCTCGCAATGCACGCTGGGGGTGGGTGGGTGTCTGCGGTCACAACTCGGTATGTATCATGTCTATGGAAGCAGGGAGCCTTCTGATAAGTTTTAAAACGTTTAAAAGTGCATCTTAGGAAATTAGGATACACATCGCCAGAGCCTGTGGAACCCCACGGAGTCTGAGGGCATTTTCTGCCCAGCAGAGCCTTCTCCTCAGAGAGCTCAGACAGACCTGCCAGGTGGGTGGGCAGGTGGGCGTCCACCAGGGAGCCAAGTCTCTTCTTGCCCTTACGAGTCGAGTCGGAAATAACAATGCCCAGCTCAAAGATGGCAGCCGACGGCACAGCTTTGACTGTGTGCCGCTCTCCACAGTCCTAGCAACACTCCAGTCTCCCCCTGCGGGCTCCTCCTGTGACCCACCACACCTGTTCCAAGACTCCCATCCCAGGGCTTGGACTTGTAACGCTCCCTACTGTGCCACCACCGAGTGTTACCAATCCCCGTCTGTTCTCTTCCGCTGTGTGTCAGCCATGGCCGCACCCACCGGTTTGAAGCCCTGGTTGTATTTTGCTCAGAGCAGCCTGGTGGGTAGTGGTTTGGGCTGTGGTGCGTACGGTTGCCGGCAGTTCAAAACCACCAGCAGCTCCAGGAGAGAAAAAGACTGGGCTCTCTAATCTCACAAACGGTTACAATTGTTACTCCTCTTTTTGAGTGGTTTCCTCAATTCCGGGGATTCCCAAACCCCTCACCCCCAGGTTTGGTTACCTTCTGCAACTTCATCCAGTAGCACAGTAATTTTCTTATCTTCTAATAATCTGTCTTTTAAAAATTTCATGAAGATCCCATTTGCCAGCCCAGAATGCTGGATTTCAAAAGCTTCTGCTCCTTGGCACCTTAGAAAACAGCAAACAAGATTTTTAGAAAGCGATCGGTCTCCTCGGGGCCGGACCTGCCCCTCCCCAGACGCCTTCCCGCAGCCGCGGGGCCCTCGTGGAAGAGGCACCCTCAGAGCCGGAGCCTGGGGATGAGGGATAAGGTCGGGCATTTAAGCGTTTCCAGCCGAGAACGCCAAGGGGGCATGTGCACACCCCCGTGGCTGGTTGCTGCTCAAGCCCACAGTGGCAACCCCTCGCCCAGGGATGTCTCTATTCTCACGCAGAGGAAGTGCTCGGAGCAAGAGTCCTTTTGCAAAAAATCATTTTATGGCGGGGGGCTTGTACAGTTCTTATCACAATCCATCCATCCATTGTGTCAAGCACATTTGTACATATGTTGCTATCATCATCTTCAAAACATTTTCTTTCTACCTTGAGCCCTTAATATCAGCTCATTTCCCCATCTCCCCCCTTTCCTTCCTCATGAACCCTTGATAATTTATACAAAATTTTCCCCCCATGTCTTGCACTGACAGATGTCTCCCTTCACTCACTTTTCTGTTGTCCGTCCCCTTGGGGTGGGGTGGGGGGTTATATGTAGATCACTGTGATCTGTTCCCCTTTACTTTACCCTCCTGGTATCACTACTCCCCTTATTGGTCCTGAGGGGTTCATCTGTCCTGGATTCCCTGTGTTTCGAGCTCTTCTCTGTACCCGTGTACATGTTGTGGTCTAGCTGGACTTGGGAGTAGAACTGGGGTCATGATAGTGGGTGGAGGAAGCATTAAAGAACTAGAGGAAAGTGGTATATTTCGTCGGTGCTAGACTGCACCCTGACGGGCTCGTCCCTTGCTCATGACCCTTCTGTGAGGGGAGATGGTAACGCTTCTTACGTGGCATATCCAAACACGATGTTGGCAGTGACCTTGAGTGCATCCAAGATCGGAATGGTATCATCATAGTCGTTTCTGTCGGGGAGGAGACACACACACCAACAGGTCATGAGAAGGCCGATGTGTGCATACAGGATGGTGCATACACAGCCCCCGAGTTAGGAACGGCATCTGTTCCTAACAGCACCTGTAAGCCTGCAGGGGGGTTTCTGGGTAAGCTGGCGCAGGTGCACATGGTTCTTCCTTCATCTTAACTTCTGTGCTCCCGTAGGGTCACAGTCTTGGACACCCCCGGGGCAGTCCTACCCTGCCCTATCGGGTGCTCTGAGCTGCCATCAACTCAGCAGTGAGTTTGGCGGTGGGTTTAGTGCAAAAAAGCCCTTCAACGTCTCTCCAACCATCTAAAAACCGCAGCAAGCGATGGTGACTGAAGAATTTGTTGTGAGTTGTGGCTCGTCCAACCATTTTAAAGTGAGGACGGATTACGTAACGTTAAGAGGTCAGTAGGCGCTGTCGCTAAGCTGGATGTTCATAACCAGGGGGAGGCCTGTAATGAAACACACAACTGGATCCTATCCGAATGGCTACTTCAAAACTACAGCAGACACTCTCCACGCAGTAAACACTGCGGGGGCAGAAGACACCCACGAGCCAACGCCATCGAGTGAGTCCATCCTGCACCCGGGACCCCGCAGGCCAGAGTGCAACTGCTCTCTCGGGCCTCCGAGGTGAACGTTTTACGGGAGCAGGCCTCGGTTTCTCCTGTGGAGCGGCTGGTGTGTTTGAACTGCCGACCTCTTGACCCGAGGTGCCCCAGATGGCAGCCACGACCTCCTTTCTCTTTCGCTTACAACTCGTCTGTGAACTCGGGCATCGGACTGGGTGGGCACGTGCTGCCCCTGCACTTTTTCTCTCCACCTGGGAGACGTTATCTGGGCAGAGTGACCGGAGACTCGGGGCTGTGGTCTTGTGAATCCCCTGGGGATGCAGGGCAGGGCTGGCAAAGAGCCAGGTCTTGTCCAGCGTGAGCCCACCCCTCCTCCTCGAGTTTTCTACTTCTGCTCTTCGGCAGACAGGTAAGAAGTTCGGTGAAAGAGACAGAGAGGGAACATAGGTTTCCCGCCAGTTGTCCTCCCAGTCAGCTTTCATCTAGAACTTAAAACCCCCAACAAACCCAAGGGGGTCTTGGTGCTTCACAGGAGCCTCTCAGACTTCGTTCTCCAAGGCCGACATGCCCCCACCCCCGCCGGGGCACCCCCGGGGTCAGGTCTGGGTTAGGGACCGTACCTCTTCCTGCACATGTCCAGCAGGAACACGTTGAGGCCGGTCTCTTTCTCCTGCATCAGTTTCAGTATATTCTGCACACAGAGGCAGTTTTCTGACCGGTAGGGATTGGGAGCATCCACAGGCACCATAAAGCTGTTCCCGAAGTTTTCGTAACCATGACCTGCATAATACAGTAATCCTGGAGAGAAGGCAAAGAGTAACTCGACGTGAAGCTCTGAACATCCATCGGCACGGGGACTCAGAAAGTAACGACGGCGAGTCCCCGTCATACCCGCGGGAGTTTACTCCACGCAAAACACTTCTGAGCAGGTCTGTCTCTGTGACCAGAGCATGGCTGCAGGCAGATTCTCTGTCACACACTTGTCCCCGGCTCATCGGGGTGCACCCACACGTGCACCCCCCAAAAGCTCTGATCAAAACAGTGGTTTCTGAGGGGCAGCTTGGGACCCTTAAGGTCCAGAAGGCAGAAGGCAGCTCTGAAGGCTGTGCGACTTTTTTGGAGACACCAAAGACATCGATCGGGATAGAGCTCCTCAAAGGACACAGGACAGGCACGACATGAGGAGTGGGGCGTGCAGGGTGTCAGAGAGCAGCGAATAAAGTGAGATACAGCGCTTTCCCAGGATGACAATGCAGCGGAGGCTGTCCGGGAAGAGTGCCCGGAAAAACTCCACAGCCTGGATCAAGGGTCCCTGCAGCCTGCATTTATCTGCTTCCAGAACTCATAGAACCTTCTGGAGCAATGGTTCTCAACCCGTGAGTCTTGACCTCTTAGGGGGTCGAATGACCCTTTCACAGGGGTCGTCTAAGGCCACTGGGAAACGTAAATATTTCACAATATATAATTACATATTGTTTTGTGATTAACCACTATGCTTTAATTATATTTAATCCTATTCAATTTGTAACAATGACAATGCATCCTGCATATCAGATATTCACATTACGATTCATAACAGTAGCAAAATTACAGTGATGAAGTAGCAACGAAAATAATTTTATGGTTGGGGGCGGTCACCACATGAGGCACTGTATTACAGGGTCGGGCACGAGGAAGGTTGTGAACCACTGCTCTAGAGGGACACGATCTGAGTTCCTGGAGATGCCAAAGCTGCCGCTCTGACGTGGGGAACATGGAGGGAGAGGAAGCAGAGGTGGAAACGTGGCTTTCGGAAGGCTTCTGAAACCCACGCGAAACTATGCCGAGAAACTTCACCCGTTCAGGTTTTCCTTTGGCAAAGGCTTCAATGATCTCTCGGTGAGAATGTTTGGCCTACCTTTGCGTTTGTCTATGCACCCTCACACACACACCAAAACCCCAAACCAAACAAACAAATCATGATTTTTAATTTCAAACATATTTAACACGTTTATTTAAGTAATGCCCTATTGTAAGCGCTGTCAGTTTCCCTTTTAAGGTGACCACGCCATCCTCATTCAGGGCTGCATTTTAAGCCAACACTGCGATCCTGCCCTGAAATACACTTCAGTTATGCAAGGAATACCGCTGCTCACTGCCATGGGGTGGAGGCCGACTCCCGGCGACCCCATAGCACAGGACAGACTGCCCCTGTGGGCTTCCGAGATTGTCACTCTTCAGGGGAGAAGAAAGCCCTGCCTCGCTCACTGGAGGAGCGGTGGTTTCAAACTGCTGACCTTGCAGGGCGCCCAACGCATAACCATATGCCACCCGGGCTCCCTCTGGAGGGAGGCAAAGTCTATCCCAGAACAAACCACCTGCTTCTAGATAAACCCATGGTCGGCAGGGACACCGTCCAGGTTCTCCCAGTTTCACAAGGAAACAGAACAGATCCACTCGGTCATTGAAACCCTCAGACGTGATTTGATGCAGCTGCACTGTCAGCAGAAAAGAAACCTGACCGTCAAGGGGTCACCTCGGACAGCTCCTTTGTGCTACAAATTTAACCCTTCCTGTAGATAAGCCAATCTCACACACACACAAACATCTAAGCGTTTTCCCGCCCCAGGAATCACCCAACCAAAAATCAAACGGTGCCATCGAGTCAATTCCGGCTCACAGTGCCTTCGTAGGACAGGGTAGAGCTGTCCCTGTGGGTTTCAGAGACTGTGTATCTTTAGAAAGCCTTGTCTTTCTCCTCCACGGATCACGGAGTGTTAAAGCCTGAGGTTAAAAACCAATTTCCCTCCCTGAAAAATTCCAGTTTGAGAACCATTAACAGTTTTACCAAATGTACCAGCTTTGTGTCTGTTATAAATCACAAGGCTAGGCTGAGGAATGATGAGCCAAGGACTTCAAAAGTAGCCTGCTGGTCGCCTTTTGCTCATCGTCTGCCTAAGGGCAGGCCTGGGAATGGCACTTCCCCGCCTGGCCGCCAGGTGGCATTGCCCAGCCCACACGGGCTCCGCAGCTGGAGACAGGAACATATCCAGACAGTACTACTGACAGCGGACGCACCTCTTCCCAGGTGATGTTGCTGTGCCTGTGAGTGGACGCACGTTGGGACCCCACAGCCACCCCAAATGCACCACCACAGCTTCAGTGCAGGGTGTCCTGCTACATGGGCGTAGGCGTACCTCTCTGGTTTGGGAAGTGCCTCATAAGCCTGCTTCACCGACACATCCATTCTCAGGGAAGACTAGAAAGGGCCAGGGGGCACTCGGGAGAAAAATCAAAGCTGCAGAATGTGCCTGAAGACACTGTGTGCCCTAGAAGCCCCACCTGCGGGCACAGCTCTACCTGCATGCACGCACCACACCTGCGCACACAGGGCATTTTCCCATCTGTGAGTGAATGTACGTGCTGCTTCTTGGCCAGGCTTCACAGTACACAGTATCCTGCTCTGGCCGGGTACAGAAAACAAAACAAAAAAGACAGCACCCCCCTGCCGCACCCCAAAAACGAGCCAGGTAATAAGGATGCTATTCAGAGCAATGCTTCTCTGACAAAACAAGGCACCCCCAAATAAATCCTGGAGGTTGATTCACAATTCACTTGGGGTGACGAGTGAGACCAGATCTGTGTTTTAGAAGGAAAAGAAAACTCACCGGGTCAATCCAACCCGGTGTGTGTCTATCCCACCTTTACCAGTTCTCTGCCTCTCGGGCCATGGAGAGAACCACACACATTGCCCTGAAGCCTGTTCTGATTTGGGAGTCCCGGGGACAGAGCAGACCCGCCCCATGGCATCTCAGAGGCTACCACACTTTTGGAGGCAGACGGCTACATCTTTCTCCCTTGGAGTGGCTAGTGCGTGTGACCTGCTGACCGGCTGGTTCTCGGCAGAGCACTGGACTACCATGCCACCAGGACTCCTTCAATCAGAGACGAGTGGGTCATGACCAAAAAAACATGTGACAAAGGCGAACTGGGCCCTGCAGTGGCGAGGTACTGAGAGGCCTCGAGGCAGCCCCAGAGGCGCTCCGTGAGACACGCATCTCACCTACCGTACACGCCCTTGTCCAGGAGGAGCAAGAACTCGTCCACAGCGCTGCGCATCTCGGACTCCGTGAGGTCCAGCAGCGAGACGACCTTGAAGTCCAGCTGCCGCAGCAGGTTGGTCAGTTCGTACACGTCCACCAAGGGGGCTTTGAGCTTGGGGTGCTCCCAGTAGTTCATGTTTCCTATCAAAAGCGCCACCTTGTCCTTTGCTGTAAGTAAACAGAGAAGAGACCTTGGGATCACACTAGGAACCCAGGGAGGAGCTTCACACGGGCGACACTTCCTTAAGACTTCAGGTAGCAATCCCGGATGCTGAGGAACGAGGAAGTCATGCTGCTGAACGCACCCTGAGCGGAGCCTTGGAGCACCAGACTCAGGACGAAGCAGAATGCGGCCAACCGTGCAGCAGGGCGTGTGCAGACGACAGCAGACAGAACAGAGGAGCCAAGGAGGCCCTCGGAGCAAACTAAGACGAGGAGTGGACGGCTGGGGATGCAAGAGGTGACACGCACAGGAATACCGGACAGAGGGACGGGGAGGATTCACCGCAGGGCAGGTAGGGCGGGCACCAGGAAGAAAAGACAGCTGGGAGCCAGCCAGGCCTGTTTCCTGTTCCTTAGACACCCGGGAGCTCTGTGAAAGCCGCCTTCCTTGGGCTGTCTGAGGACTGTGGGCCCACTTTTGCCGGAGTGCACCAGAGGAGGCTGCTTAAGGACGTGGGTGCTGACCCCTGTAAAGGGCAGAAAGAGCCCAGCCTCCCAAGGTGCCAGTGAGCTCAATCAGCCGGCCCAAGGCACCGACGCTGGACTCTGCTCAGTGCTGAAGAGGTCGGCAAGGTTGTACCTTTGCTAGTCTGTGGTGGGGTCAGAGGTCAAAGGCTACAGACCACCCCATCACCTCCCCACGGCCATCGAGTCGATTCCGACTCACAGTGACCCTAAAGGACAAGGTAGAACTGCCCCTGTGGGTTTCTGGGTCTATGACTCTTTACAGCAGTACAAAGTCTCGTCTGTCTACCTCGGAGCCTCTTGGGGTTTCGAACTGTGAATCTTTTGGTTACCAGCCCAACATGTAACCCACTAGCCACAGTGCTCCGCCCACCACCACTACCGCCACCGTCCTCATTTTATGCTTGAGGCTCAGCAGTGGGCAGCTGGAGCCAGGGGTGGCATCAACCACAGAGGAAGATGCTGGGAGCAGTGGAGACAGTGCTGGTAGCAGCCAAGTGGCCAGAGGGCCACCCGGGACAGGGCTGTGGTGTGCGACCCTGCCACAAAGTGCTGCTAGTGGCTCACAGGGGAAATATGGTGCCCGAGACTCTTGGGGACAGCAGCAGGCGCAGTAATGCTCAGCTCCATCCGTGCTCACGGGCACACGCCGTTCAGGTAAAAACGAAGGCCCTTAAAGCCGCATCCGTAGTCCAAGGAAAGGCACCCTGAGGCTTATACACACGGGAATTGCTCCTTTCATCCAAAAGGAAAGGTCAGTTATCAAGACAACTGAACACACTGGGCGCCCTGCTTGCCTGCTAGCCACAAGGTGGGCGGTTCTAACCCACCCAGAGACTCTGCAGGGAAAAGATGATGGGCAGTTCTCTTCTGTCCAGCGGGGCTGAGTCGGAACGGACTCGGTGGCCCCCGACAGCCACGTTCGACATATAAGGGTGCTCGGCACAAAGCGTCTACGAAGCCACCCCTGGCTGCTCCCCAGGACGAGGGGGTGCGTCCAGCGTGCACTTCAGTATAAGTCCGAGTGTCGCTGCTCTGAATGTCCCTCCCAAGGAAAGGGTGCCCTTTCACACTTAACATGGCTGCATTTTCCTTTTCTTCTTCCGTGAAGTCTCTCCTTCAACAAACTAGGCACCGACTCACAGCAGAGCACCCGCCGCCACCGCGGTCTCACAGTCGGCAGCTGGTGCAGAGAGGGGGAAGTGAAAGCCGGTGCCCTGTGTGGTGAGCCCCTCAGCTCTCCCCGAGGCCAGGCCCAGCCCCGACCCCGGATGCACTCGGCTGAAGTGCTGCCCGGCAGAGGAAGTCAGAACCGGCAGGGCTCTGAGTGCTGAGGGCAGCTTTCCAGCGAGAGCCACCCAAGGTGTCCTGGCAGCAGCCCCAAACCTGCCCCCAAATGCTGAGGCACAGGGCCCTGTAGGACGGAGCAGACCAGCCCCACTGGGCTGCCAAGGCCCCCGTGTTGCCGGAGGCCAGCGGACTGCCACAGCTTCCCCACCCCCAGGAGGTGCCAGAGGGTTCCAACTGCCGGCCTTTCCGTGCATACGTGGCCGAGGGCCGTGGCCACTGTGCCACCAGGGCTCCCTCAGGTAGCCGTGAAGTCCCTGCAAATTGGTGTCTCCTCCCCCACCCCCATGAACCTTTGCCATCAGGAGCCGAGTACACCTCCCAAACTGAGTTTTATCCAGCAAGACGACATTGTCAGTATACAAGAGCCATACAAGTATTCCCAAATCACTGGGTGTGTTTGGGTGCAATAAGAACCATCCCCACCTCCCAGACCACCTTGCTGGCAGCTAAGCACGGCGAGATGTTTCGGCTAAGATCGGGTCTCTTTGGTTTTGTCACGTATGTGGGAAAGAAAGACCGTCTGGTTTCTTGATGGCGGGAGGTTACCAATTTGAGAACTACCTGACTCAATAACTTAAAAAAAATGAACAATTAGAAAGTTTCCCCAAGGATCACTGAGCAGCAGCTCCTTCATTTCAGTCAGCAAGGGCATGGGGAGCAGACCTGACCTTGCCCCGCCTACCTGGGATGTGGTCCTTGGGTGACGGCCAGCGAGGGGGGCTTAGGGCAGAGAAGCGGCAGGCAACAGTGGCTGAGGGAGAGGTGAGAGACCGACCCAAGGAAAGCAGCTGAAGAGTCGGAGAGGAGACGCCAGGCTGTCGAGCAAGAAGCAGTTGAATAGGAATCGGGGGAGGCAAGAGTGAGGAGTCAGGGGGTCTTTGGAATGTGGCGAACCGTGTAGGCCTCTCATGTGGTTCTCAAGTCCTAACATAAATGCAAGAACATTTCTGTAGAAAAACAGTTACTGGAAAAGCCACCTACAACTTCTTGAACGCACACACCGTTGACTGGAAAAAGGGGGCGAAATCGCCATTTGATTGAGCAGTATCACACTGAAACCATTTCAGAGGAAGAGTCTAACTCTGGAGCCGCGGGTCCTCCACACTCACGCAGGGCCCTGGGGAGGGTGGTGCAGTGGTGTGCGCGGATCCCAGTCCTGCCTCTCCCCCCCACCCTCTCATCTCATCCCAAGTAACTAACTATGTATAAGCACTCAGAGCAGTAACACAAGGAGAACGTCCAACAGCATGGGCCTCTTTCTAGGTGCTGTATATGTAAAAGGGGCTTCAGAGGCTCATGGGAAAATGGAATTAAAAGGTAATAAACTACTCCTATGAACTTTTGGAAGCCCCCTTTTATTTATTTATTTGCCCCTTTTATATTTCGTAGACTCCTGGTATGAGTAATCGATGACAGCATCTGGGTGCTTGCTGTAAGGCTGGAAGTTCGAATCTACCGGAGGAGGCTCCGAAGCCCACCCACAGGTGCCTTGGAAGAATGACTGATGCCCCACCCCTGTCCCCGCAGGGCACAGCTGTCACGTCTGACACGTGTGGGGTTGCCATGGGTTGGAATGGATGCCAATGGACATGGTGTGTGTGTGTGTGTGTGTGTGTGGTGTTCTTACGGATACCCTGGGTGCGGGCTGAGAGAAGGGAGCAGGCGGTTGTGGGCCTTAGAGCTCTACTCACCCAATGGCTGTTCAGGGACCTGCTCTTCGTTATCTATAAAATGACAAGAACGTTAGACAGGTGAGATGTTATCATCCATGCTACGAGTCTCTTCACGGTTAAACCTACATGCTAAACAGCAGACAATGCCATTCCACTGGTGCACCGCTGAAGTGCGGGGCAGGGTGGTGAATGCGCAGACAAGCCTGAGGTTTTAGACACCAGAAGAAGGCGTTTACGTGGAGGATGAGTTGGAGCCAAGGTAAGGGAAGTCCTTTGGTAGCTGATTGACACAGCTGGGGATGCTAATCCTTAACAGGACAGGTGGACATGGCAGTCTGACAGCGGTGGTGGAGGATCATCAACCGTCACCACCACCACCACCACCGTTATCACCACCACAACCATCGTCACAATCACCACCACAACCATCGTCACAATCACCACCACACTGGTCACGACCACCACCATGGTCACCATCACCACCACCAGCAGTGGGAGCAGTGGCCCAGCAGTAACACTGACTGTGTTCCTGGCTCTAAGCTTCGTGCTTTGTAATCACCGAGTCTGCTCACCTCACTCTCCCCTGAGAGTTAGGTACCGTGGTTACCTCCGCTTTGCTGAAAGCCAGGAAGTAGCGGGTCTGGATTCCAACTTGAAACCAAAGAACTAAGGCTGTTTCCTCCCAGATGATTCCTACTGCTGACCTCATTCCCCACCATGCTCGTCACTACCCGCCGGGCGTGACACAGGCCACCCCACCCCTGGCATCTGCAAGGACACAAACACTGCCAGGGCTTTCCTCACATACCATTCCGGCAGAAACGCAAACTGTACAGGGCTCCCGGGGGGTGTGCAGATCACTGAGGAGGGAGCTAGGGGTATTCTAGAAGCCTACTGGTGATTGTAGGTCACCTGGGGGGGCTGCTAACCCAAAGAACGGATGGTGGTTCGAAACCACTAGCGGCTCCACAGGCAGAGAGATCCAGTGGTCTGCCCCACTAAGAGTCGCGGTCCAGGGAACCCTATGGGGCAGTTCTGTGCTGTCCGAGAGTCGCCCAGAGCTGCAGTCCGCACAACGGCATAGCCAACCAGCAACGGGAGTGCAAATGTGCAGGTCTTTCTGAAGCCGTGTCCCAGTGTCCTTGGAAGCAAGGCCAGAAACATCAGGGATATTTGGGACAAGAAGGCTCTAATTAGACCAAGTTGTGGGTGTGGGGAGCCAGCCTCCCTCAGAACCCTTGGCTAGGAGAAGGTATACTGGTGATGGGGTCTTCTCAGCGTGAGTCCCTGGCAAGTAAGTCATCACCCGGTGGAAGCGCCATTCACAGTCATCATACGTTTGTGCTGGTGGAAATCCAGGCATGAAGCTCAGCAAACTGGTCTTGGGGCAAGAACGAGGATGGCCAGGCCGAGTGATAACGGCGCCTTGGCGAGCATGACGCAGGAGCAACCCCACCGCTGACTCGGCCCGGGGGTGGGCGGACTTTCTGAGGACCCTTCCAGCTTCCAGGGCCAGCTTTCAGAACGCCCTCTCCTTCCCCAGAGCAGTAGCCTCGTGCTCCAGTCGAAGGCTTTCCTTCGGCTTAATGCTTCTGGAGGTTTCTGATTCCAAGGGGCTCAGAGTGCTGCTGGCCGCTTGCTCTGCCTCCGATGGTCAGTCTGGGCGCTCAGGGGCCGACAGACGCTTGCCCTGCACGGTGCCGGCTGTCCCCACTCATGCACTTCCCTGCACACAGATGCCTCGCCACATGTGCGGATCTGCGCTAGGACCGAGCACCTGAGAACCAGGCTCCGGGTCAGGCCAGCCCAGGGTGGGGTCCGTGGCCGGCTGCTAGCAGGAGTGGCGCCTCGTCATCCAGATAAAGGTCACGTGCTCCCACTGCCTGCCCTCTGAGGCCACCAGGAGTCCCCGAATACCCCCTTCAAGGATGAAGACCTACTGGGGGCTTCACGTGGCCTCAACGTCCCTTTCTGCCTCAGTTTTAAAAACCTATGCTAGTTTTCTTCTTTTGGTGTGCATGGAATTGTGCTTCACCCACCTAATAGGTTCTACACTGGACGCTGATGATTTCAATTAAGAAAACAGGTCCCACTGTGCCCGATCCCCACTGTCAGCGAGTCCGCTGGCTCACAGGGCCCCTACTGGACAGCGCAGAAGGCCCCATACGGTCCCCAAGGCCATCTCTCTCCGGCACAGGGGCTGGTGGCTGTGCTCAAGCCCGTGCCCAACCCGCTGCACCACCAGGGCTCCTGACTAAGCGCAAAAGAGAAGCGGGGTGCTTCTGTGGCTCAACAACGGAAAGGTCTCACAGTGCCGTCCTTCCGTGGTGTGACTTACCAGGGTGCTCGAGATGGTTTAGTTCATCTGAAACGAGAGAAAGAGACTCGTATTAAACAATGGAACTGCCAACTGTACCCAAAAAACGGGCACTCAAAGAACTCGCTGCTGAGCCATTGTGTCACAATGCCATGTCCTTTTGGTTCAGGATTTTTCAAAGCCTAAAATGAGAAGCCATGCAACGATCGTGAAGAAGAGGGAACGTGAGTTATCATTTAAGACTGCTAAGCGGGGGTGGGAAGGGGGAACTGATGCCAAGGACCTACATGTAACCTCCTCCCTTGGGGATGGACAACAGAAAAGTGGGTGAAGGGAGACATTGGACGGTGTAAGATATGACAAAATAACAACATAAATTATCAAGGGTCCATGAGGGAGGGGGGAGCAGGGAAGAAGGGGAAAAAAATGAGGAGCTGATAGCAAGGGCTCAAGTAGAAAGCAAATGTTTTGAGAATAATGATGGCAACAAATGTACAAATGTGCTTGACACAATGGGTGTATGTATGGATTGCGATACGTTTTATGAGCCCCCAATAAAATGATAAAAACAAAATTTAAAAAAGAGAGAGAGACTTCTAAGTGGTTGCTTCCTTTCAATGGCAAGAGGCTCATTCCATGTTCCTGATATCCTGGCTAATTATGGAGCAGAGAGGCTGGGCGCAAGTTGGTCTGTAGCCTCGTTGGAGCTGCGGTGCTGGGCTGTCCAGCTGCATCTGGCTCCTAGCAACCCTGCAGGGCAGAGGAGAAGAGTGCCAGGAGTAGGGTAGGGGGGGTGGGATGGAGCTGATTGCCTCACTTTCCTTCAGCTAAGGGGCCAGCGGGCTTGAACCACAGACTTTTCGTTCAGCAGTCAGTGGGTAACCACCGCACCACCAGGACTTCTTGAAATGCATTCAGGGCCCCAGATGATCTTTATTTTAGGCCGACTGTTGATTTTAGAGCAGGTTAAGATGCACGGCACCTCAGTGAAGATGGTACCCCTGCCGTACCCCTGCCAAGCAGGTTTCATGTGTTAGGCAGGTATGCAATGCTGGATTAATAATGGCATATTTTTATTAAAGAAAGGCCCTGCCTGATGCTGCATGCCTCGGTTTCCCCCAGGGCCGCCCTCTGTCCTGTGACTCCATTCCGGACCTGTCCTTGGGTGCTCGCTGGTTCTTACAGTGTTGTCTCAGGCTGTCTGGGTTGTGCTGGTCTTGACAGTATGGGGCAGTGCTAGTCAGGTGTTGGTGGCGGCTCCCTCCATCGGGGTTTGAATTGTGTGTCCACAACAAAAAGCCCAATCTGCTGACGCTGACTCGGAGCGGCCCTCCCTGTGCTTCCGAGGCTGAAAGCCTTATGGGAGCAGCCCGTCACATCTTCCTTCTGCCTATCATGGTTGGACAGGGATGATGCATTTTTGTGAGCTACAGGCACAGCGGCTGCAAAAATGGGCCCAAACATAACAGCGAGTGTGAGGATGGAGCAGGACCGGGCAGTGCGTCGTGCTGCTGGACGTGGGGCTGCTGTAAGCTGGAGCTGACTTAACGGCAGCTAACAACAACGCTGCAGTAACCGCAGGCCCGTAACAGCCACGCCTGGCAGAGGCAGGTGAATCCGCACAGACAGACCTATGGAGCTCATCAAGGTCACGTGCTAAGATTGTTAGTATTGGAAGGACGTGTGCTAAACGAGGAGACTTCTCTAGAAATCACACTCGCATCTAGAGGCTGCGGCATCTTGGTCATAGTGTCGATAAAATAATCAAAAGAAACGATCAGTGACGTCATAGCCCCCCCCCACAAAGGTAAGACTATTAATGGTAAGTTGGAAATAGACCACCCATGATAAAACATCGCTGAAATCCGTAGCCTGTCTGGAAAGAGTTGGAGCTAGCTTTTCCATCTATAATTTTTTTTTGGTGGGGGGGGGAACTTCATAGTCTGATCTTCATCTTCGAGCGTTCTGGAGAAGTTTCTCTGAAAATTCCTGCTTAGTCGTGTGGCCCCCTGCTGTGAAAAGTGACAGGAGCCCCTTGCAGGTACAGAAGGACTTCCGCGTGGGGGTGGGGGATGGAGGGTGGTTTTGAACCTGCCTCACCTGGAAGCCAAGCTGTGAGCAGAATTTCTGTTTATGCTCATAAGTCTTCAGTGTGAGAGGGTGTGGAAACCGTGCGATCAGACACGAGGAGGAGGAGGAGGAGGAGGATGAAGAATTTGCTAGGTCCCCCTCACAAATGTCTGTGCGTGCATACGGCTGAGATCACAGGACTGGAAAACCCCGCCTCTCTTAATTACTCTAATTCCGGTCAGCCACAATGGTTAGATGCAAAATAGTAATTACTGCATTTCAAAGTGATACCTGAGAAATAGGAAGGACAGGAAAACCAGGAAATACAAGACTCGATATGATTTTCTGAATTTACCCAAGTAGGGTCAAAGATGGTATTACAGCGTAAGGAGGCAGAGATGGATAAAAATACTTTGCTATCCACGGTCCTCATTTTGCAAAGCAGCGGGACATCACACTGAGGGAAGGAAGGTCATTCAAGGTGTAAGATGTGCTCCTTGCCACTTACTGCTTTGGTTGATTCAAACCGATTAGACATGTTATGTTGAAATCAAATGCACAGCTCCTTATATATAAGGTAAAGGGGTCATAGTAGATTAACCTTGTAATTTCAATAGAGACAATAGATTTTTCTCAAATTTATATTAAAATAGTGCATTTAATAGTTGATAAGAATGCATGTCAAACAATAAAAATTCTGGCCTTGACTTCTGTAGAAATCCCATTTGCATTTGTAAAGAATCACATGGGGCTAAAGCCGCAAACCCAAACTCACTGCCATCGCCTTGATTCTGACTCACAGTGACCCTATAGGGGCCCTTTGGGTTTCTGAGACTGTAACTCTTCACGGGAGTAGAAAGCCTCATCTTTCTTCCTCGGAGCCGCTGCAAGTTTTAAACTGCTGGCCTTGCCGTTAGTAACCCAACTTAAAACCTAACTGGTGGTGTAGTGGTCTACATGCTGAGCTGCCAAGCACAAGGTTTGCAGTTCAAACCCACAAGCTGTTCTAAGGGAGAAAGATAAGGCTGTCTACTCCTGTAAAGTCTTTAAGGTCTCAGAAATCCAAAGGGGGCAGTTCTACTCCTATCACAGTGAGAGGGCAGATAAAACCATGTAAACAAAGAAGAGAGGGTCCCAGAAAGTTCCGGGTAAAATGGAATGAAGCGGTGTTGGGATCGCCCCATGAACTTTGTGCAGCCGCTCCTCCCACCATGTTTGACAACACAGGCATGCATCTTCCATGAAGATGCAAACCAACAAGAACAATACATTGCAAAGGGTCAGAATCTGCAAGATGTCATGCAGGAACTTCATGACAATATGCCGATAGAAAAATCAACTTAAAACGGTGATTTTTAACAGGATCTCGGTTTGACAGTATCAGTGGCAAGTTTAAGACTTCAAAAATTAAGATACAACCTCCTTCCATCCAGATCATTTCCGACGGCTAGTATTTTTTCCACCACTGCCCCCAGTAAGTTAGCGTGTGTCACCAATCAACCAAGGGGTTACACCAGCATGCAGGCATTTGATTTCCAAACCAAAGAGCAGTACTACCTTCAGTGCACTCCACGGCCTCCTCTGATCTTCCTTGTTCCAGGGAAACAAAGTTGAATAGATTGTAATTCACGATGGAATTATGGAGGGCCCCCATTCAGCACACAGAGAGACAGCTATCACAGAAACATGCCGACAAGCCAGCATCTGCACTGACACCGATTAGTATTGACCTTACTATGCCTTTATTACACTTACTGAGAACAAACACCCACACCACAGAGTTCATAGGAAACCAGGCATTCCTTTATATCAGTGCTTCCCAAAGTTGGGGTGCTGGAATGATCCTGGGGGAGAGGGGAGCTGCAAAAGTAGCACCCTAGACTTTATTCTGCATAATGGGCTATTGCCACGGGAGAACGTGGAGTTGTTGTTTTTCCCCCCTGAAAAGGGGCAGTAGGCCAAATAAGTTTGAGAACCTACATGGCATTTATGGTAGTGAAAAATGTTTAATAAAGATCGTTTCCCACTGCTCTAGTGCAGAGAGTGGGTTACATGCTGAGCGGCTAACCTCAAAGTCCGCGGTTTGAAACCACCAGCCGCTCCTCAGGAGAGAGATGAGGCTCTCTCTCAAAAACCCACAGGGAGAGTTCTACTCTGTCCTCAAGAGTCACTCTGAGCTGTGTGCTTAAAAATCGTTTCCCACTTAAGTTCTTTTCCTTTCAAGAGCTAAAGTGGATGACTTTTGCCACACATTTATAAAATTGTTAGGAGACCGAATGATGATTAAAATAGCTTTCCTTATGCTTCCTGTGTGGGAATCTAGATGAATTTAGTATCCGTTCCCTTACGTTTCTGGGTGAGCAGCAGAGCCCTGAGACTTGATGCATAAAAGCACAAGTCTGGACGGGAGGCAACGCTCGCCGCTGCAACGCTGCCCTCCTGGGGCTCCTGGGACAGGCTCACCTATGACGATGTCCGCCCTCTTGCTCTCCTGCGTCTCTCGGTCATTATACACCCGACACCAGTAGGTGCCCTGGTGCTCCAGGCCCACGCACGGCACCTAGGGCAACATCAGAACACAATCAGGTTTCCGTTGCATCTTTAACTCGCATCAAACAAAGCAGGGCATCTGGGAAGGTTTGAGCCATTTGTAGATGAGTATTCGCAAGCCCACAACGTGATGGTTCTGCTTGACATTTTAAAGTATAAACTCTGGGATGGGCTGGTACCCGGTTCTAAAAATGTGTCACCTGTTGAGAACCGATAACTATTAAGTCTCGAGGGGCTAGAAATAAAAAACGGAAACGTGAAGACCCCCCCACCCCCAAGAACACCAATGTAACGGTCATCAATGACTTCGATGGGACCCACTCATCGACACCAGAAATACTCAGAAAAAGACCACCCTACCACGTGTAGCTTTTTGGTCTCGTGGGCCAGTGGCAGCTCGTTCCTGAACCACTGGTAGCGAGGGATCGGGCTGCCCACGGCAACGCACTCCAGCACCAACGTCCTGCCTGGCCTCAGCCGTTGCGACGCGGGCTCCACACAGATCTGCAGCTTGGCCTCGGAGACGCCGTCCAGACTTCCTTAAGTGGAGAGGAACACGGGACCACTAAGGGAGATCTCCGGGTGAAGGAGAAATCTCCCCCTTTCAGGCTCAGGAAAAAACAGGGCTCGTCCTCAGGGTTCATCTTTCATCATTTCTTTACGATCCAGAATCTCATGTCTCGCATGGGGTCCAGGCCACAGCGCTCCTCCTCAGTGCAGAGGGAGGGGGGTGGCCCTGGAGAGAGGTGTCTGTGGACAGACTCGCTGAGACAATTCCGGCTTTGCTCGGGGTGGACATGCTGTGGGGTGGGTCTCTGGGGGCTTTCAGAATGTAGTGCAAGGCATGACTCTAGGAGGGGAGACCGGTCTGAGCGCCTCCCAGGCAACGACCTTGACATCTTGAGTCATCGTCGCCTTCCATACTAAGAGCTCTCACGCGCCCTCTGACTTCATCTGGCTTCCTGAAATGGACTGAACGAGCAGGGGGTAGGTTCTCTCTCGCATGCCGGCTCAAGCAGGGCATCGGAGTTCATGCATTAAACGCCTGTCTGTGATGGGCTCCTGAGCCTTAGGCTCGCAGCAGGAAGCTCGGTGCCTAACATGCCATGGGGTCAGTAATACTTGCTGGCTGAGCGGAAGCATAGGACTGCTCATCAGAGACGGATCTGGTGGATCAATGGAGGTGCCATCGGAGAGGGAGTCCTGGAGCTGGTATAAAGGATTGGGGAGATTCCTATGCATTGTCCTAGAGCAGCGGTTCTCAACCTGTGCGTTGAGATCCCTTTGGAGGTCGAATGATCCTTTCACAGGGGTCGCCTGATTCATCACAGTAGCAAAATGACAGCTATGAAGTAGCAATGAAAACAATTTTATGGTTGGAGGTCACCACCACATGAGGAACTGTATGAAAGGGTCGCGACATGAGGAAGGTTAAGAACCACTGCCCCTAGAGGATCCAGTGCTATGGGAAGGTGGAGAACGTGCACTGTGATTCCATCCACAGATCTGCGAAAGTGGCTCACGCGTGTGGAAATAGCCTGAGAAGACCAAGATCACGCCAATCATCGGGAACCCTCATCACGAGTGCGCCTGAGCCCCTTCACAGAGGGATGGCGGTGCTTCATACCTGCTCTGGGCCATCACGGCTCCCACCGCCCACAGGACCTGCCTGGCTTGGCCCACCTGATGCCTCTAGAACTGAAGAGCAGAGTGAGCGGGAGGCGGCTGAAGGCTTCGCACATTTTGCTAGAGAGTGTGAGCTGGCAGGTGGGTGCCCGACTCTCCAAGTGTACCTGGGGATGCTGGTTTCCTGGGGCACAGGACTTTCGGGGCTGCACCAGGGAACGCTCCAGGTACACAACAAAGCTGGCATGAGCCCCAGTGGCGAAGAGATGCTATGCCAGCTCACCACGTCCTCCCCGTGGGCCCTCGCACAGCTCCCTTGAAGGAGGTTGTGGTGATGGGAGGCATGCCACCCATGCCGTGCAGGGCCACAGGGCCTGTGGAGATTGAGGGCAGGACAGAAGGATGGAGGGGAAGGCCTCCACGACACAGGAGGGCCTCAGGGAAGGGAGTGCTAGAGGCCTCCAGGATGCCTGTGGGCAGGGCAGCCGGCAGGAGGGCCCCTCTGACACGGGAAGAACAGAAGATGTCCTTCTCACTACCAGTGAGTCGACTGTGATTCACAGAGACCCTACAAGACAGGGCAGAACTGTCCCTGTGGGCTTCTGAGACTTTTCACTAGAGGACTAAGTTATTCCCTCTGAGCAGCTGGTGAGTTTGAACCACTGACCTTGTGGTTATCGGCCTGAACAGTTCTGTCCTCAGCAACCCCACACGCTGGCAGCAGCCAGGCTGCAAGGAAGAGTGTGATCTGCGTTGGGAAACCCAGCACCAGGGCTGGGCAACACAGAGCCCTCTGTGGTGTCCCCGGCTCTCAAGTCCTGCACCAGACCCCTTCCTGCCATCCAGTCCGTCACTGGTGAGCAGAACACACTACAGGCGGGCCTCGCGTGTCTGCAACGGCCCGAGAGAAGACGAGGACCTGCCTATTCCTGGTCACGGATCTCCTTAGCCCGGCCTCTGTCCTTCCTGTCCTACAATCAAATGAGGATGAGGTGTACGAAGAGATAAGGTCAATGTGCTTCTCCGGCTTCAAGGGGGGAGAGTTACTAGGAGGAGAACAACAGATGACCTCGAATAACTGATGTCAAGACACGGAGCTAGATGAATGGGGAGAGCTTACACTTGAGGGTAGACTAGGTGGGCGTGAGGGCAGGCCAGGGGGCCAGGGAAGGTAAATCTGAAGCCATCAGCAGGGACCAGACTGAGAAGGGTTCTGGGGCTTCACAAGCCTGTGTGTGGTAAGCTTCCATGAGCTTCCAATTCCACGGGCAGCTTCCTCGTATGTCATGCTAAGGCATCTGTCTGCGTACATACGTGTCCACGGAGAAAGGGAATAAACACAAATAGGATAAACATGTCCTATTTGGTGGCGGTACACAGGATGAAGCACATTAGTGAGCTTTCGGTACTGGGTTTTAGACCGTTTTGGACAAAGTAGGAATTGTAAATAAAATACGGCAGATCTCCAGAGGAGCCTGCAGAGTTTGTTTTACTTACTCCGGGAGTTTCCTGTAACTTCTGCAACGTCACACACATCCAGCTGGGACCACTGGCTGAATTCAAAGGTGCAGTTGTTGTTAACTCGGCAGACGTAAAAGCCGGAATCTTTGACGTGCACGCTGTTGAAGATGAGCTCTGCAGCGTTTCCATGCGGGATCTGCGACAGAATGAACGAGAGGAGGGCAAAGGTGCGTGCGGGGGGGCCCGAGGAACCGCGCCCGAGAGCAATGCGCGGCGCCCACGCTACGCCTCCGGCCGGTGCTTTATAAAGCCTGCAACATTCTGAAAGCCCGCCCGGTTCCAGAATGCCATTTTCTGTCACTGAGAACTGCTCGGTTTAACCAGAGAGAGGTAAGCTGCCACCCACACGGGCGTGAAGGGATCTGTTCTCTTGTTTAAAACCAGTGAAGTCGTTCATCTTGGAACATCTACGATGGACATCCACTCTTCGCGGGCAGTAACCAGTCCACGAGACACACACTGCGGTGGAGTGGGGGGACCACGGAAAGTAACAGCTGGTTGTCCACGCATCTGAACCGTGACGCTGCCGAAGCCTACAGAGTCCCACGGGCTGTCAAAAGAGCAAACAACTCTGTCCTGGAAGATGTGCAGCCCGGATGCTCCGCAGAGGCAAGGATGTAGTTAGGACATGCTGTCAGGAGAGACCAGTCCCTGCAGAAGGACATCAGCCTTGGTGCAGTGGAAGGGCAGTGACAAGAGCCTGGACAAGAGGGAATGATACAGGGGCTGCCTAGACGGGCTCAGCCCTAAGAACCAATGTAATCGTGGCGCAGGGGGACCTGCTGCACCCACGGATGCAGGGCGTCAGGACTGACACCCGCGGCGCTGAATCACAACGCATTTCCGTTCTGACCGAATCAGCCAGGCGAGCCATTTCACCTGGGAGCCCTGTCTTCTCGTCTGGAAAATTCTGAGGGTGGGTCCTTTCCTACCCCAGCATGGAGCTTCTCCCAAGGCCTGGGCGGAGAGGCGTGGGGAGGGCATGGCCGGCCCACGGTCTCCCTTTTTGAGGGGGTACCTTTGGATGGAAACTCTGTCCTCTGCTGAGACCCTCACACACCTGCCCACTGTGGGCTTCCTTCCAGGTGCCCTCTCCTTCTGGTGACGATGCAAGTCGTGTCTTCTGAAGAGAGGCCACTGGACGCTCCGTCTGTCACCCCTCCCACCCCCCATTTCTATCTTTCTCAAATTAGGATGCATTTCACAAGTGATGAAAGTAGTGTGGATTTCCCCCGTGTCTCGCCACCAGAAGGCATTTATTTACACAGATGTAATTTTGAAAGTGGGGAAACCTGGTAACAGAGCGTTCCCTTCAGACTCCTGCGAGGCTGTGCACTGGCCGTGGCGAAGGCTTGCTGTGACCCCTGAAGCCAGGAACCTGCATGGCGAGTCCTGACAGGGCCCGGCGGGCCTTGCCTGCATCACGTCCCCTGGAACCCTTCCTACTGACCCCACGCTGGTGGGTGGGAAGGGAGGAACACTACCTTCGGAGGGACCTGCCCCCCCCCCC